TGCTGGCCTCCTTTCTCCACCTTTATTGCCACCCGAGCTTCTTATTTCCCCTGTTTCCTTTTCATTTATGAACTTCCTTCCGCAGTTTTACATTTTCCGAGCTCACTGTCCATTTTCCTGTCTACTTTTAAGTACCACTTTCTACCTCCTCCCACTTCCTTTTGTTCCAGGAAAACGAGTCGACGTATCTCGATCCCATCCCTCTGTCTCTCTCTACTCGAAATGAAGTTGTTCCGCTTGCACGGGAGGGAGGGGGAGGGGAATCTTCCCTTTCGAACGTCCATTCCATCGGACTATGCCACTTCGGCCTCAATTATCCTGCTGAGCCGCAAAAATTCGACCAACGAACCCAATTTATCCGATCAGAAACGGAATGCTCAGATCCTGTCTCTCGTTTCTCGACTTCCCTCGACTTTTTTTTTTCTTTCTTCCTCTCTCTTTCCATCCGGCTTATTCCATTGCTCGCCCTTCCTTTTATTTCGTGGCCTGTTATCACCTTCCAGTGTTTTATCTTCCAGCCCGGTTTATTCCAGCTTACCGACATTTTATAAGCCGGCCAATGCGAAGCAAGAAAGACTATTCTTAAAAGTGGGATAGGGTGTTTAGCAGGAGGCGTTTGAAGTGATTGTAATATTGGAGGGATCTGATTGTGAGATAATCGATACTCTTTCTCTCTTTTTTTTTCTTTATTTCTTTTTCTTTCCTTTGATTTTACAACTTTTGCCTTTATCTCTCTTTGAATCCTTCTTGCCTTGGGGTACTTTAGGATTTGATACAGGATTGATCAACTTTTCTTTGTCTTTCTGCTTCTTTGACGTTCTTCGGATCCTTTCCCTTATTGGGTTGCTTTGTTTTGGAGGTTAAGTTAGAAATCGATACACTTTTCTTTCTTTCTTTTTTTTTCTTCGACACTCCCTAAATTCTTGTTGCACGACTTAATTGATGTTATTAGTCAGACTTTACAAGTCACGAGTTAATACATTTTCTATTATAATGAGTTTACTAATAAAATGAATGAAATTTTACACGTAAATTTTAAAAAACAGGATCTTCATTAACAGGTTTAAAAGAGAGACGAACGTTTTGAATATTCATTCATTAATATGTAAAATCTAGCAGAAAAGAAACAGAATTTCGAAGGAATACGAGTTTAGTGTCTATAAAGAAGAATAAAGAATAATTGTAGATCAAAATTAAATCTGGCATTAATTGCTTACATCAACTGATATTTGTGATTAATGATCGATGAGACGTCCAATTATCTTCACGAGCATCTTTCCTCCATCGATTTTTAAACAATTCCCTTCGAATCGTTTTAGAAACATGCCGTATCGTTCCTCAGCAACATTTTTCCTCTCACGGTTTGATGATTTACAGGCTAGAGCCTGTGACGATGAAATCGTGCAACGTCCAAGACGAGTTCCCCCCTCTTTCCTGTTCCCTTTGATGTGCATCGAAATCGTCATTTCGTCCTGCATCGTCTGCTCGGCCTTTTTTTACTCTTTGGCTGACCATTCGACGAACGTTGCCTTCCGCCGTGGCTGAATACGCCGCGTTCGTGATCTGCCATCACGAAAAAAAAAAAAGAAACCTGTTCTTTGTGAAAAATCCTGTGATGGTGGACCCCTGGTGGTCGCGCAGAGGAAAATATTTTCGCCATTCAAGCCACCATCGACCATAGCCACTGTTAATATTCGTAAGCATCCGGTCTCGATGCATGGCGCCGAGCTCTTCTATCCAGATGATTACAACGCGTTGCTTTTCTACTCCACGCCGGAGATGAACTGTGCACGATGTACACAATAATGGCTTCGTGTAATTTTTGCCAAGCTCTTGCGACGAGTTTTCTTTTTTTTTTATAGAAGTAAAAATATCTTTTCTTTTTGATTGTTCTTCCTATATTTCTGCATGCAATCTGTTGGCGAATTTTTTACGAATTATTAATGAATCTTAAGAATTAAAGGGTATAATACGTATATATTCACCTTTGGAGGATCGAAACAAAAGTTGGTATATAAAAATAGTTAAGGTTTATTTATTACGTAAATTAGATAAACTGAGCAAATCAATTGAAGATTCTTTCTTTCGTTTTCTCTTATAAACTTCGATTGCAAATTGATAAGTAAGGCTTAACTTTACGTTTTATTTTGAATAAAATATATATAGTTATTCTATAATAGATACTTTTCGTATTTTTTTAAAACTATTCGTGTTATTTGTTTATCATCTTCGTTATAAATTTCGATTATTAAATCCGTAGAATATGTTCGAATATTTTCGTGGCCAAAATATATATCACATTACGGCAGCTCGAATCAGCTCGAAATCAACTTCTCCTTCTTTCCGTTCTTTCCCTTTTCCATCGTGGCGGTTTTATTTCTTTCGGCATTCACCCAACGACGGATTTTCCCAATGCAAGCTTCGTGACACCGTAGTTCACGAAAGTAGCAGGAACGTAGCCAATTTCCCCGATCTCACGCTGAATACTTGAATACTTCTTTCCAGCTCTCCTCTTTGTTTCCCTCTGCTTTCACCTTTTATCCCTCCGGTTGTCCGATTTAAACGATTCTCCCGACGTCATTGAGGGAAAATCTTAACTTCGAGAAAGAGAGAGAGGTTACTTCGCGTCTCCCATTTAATTTACATCGAGACCATGGCTTGTGGCACTCACGGGGATGGGTTTTCTTTACCGACACGTACTTTCGGCCCACTTGGAGACTGCTATTACACCATTGTTTGAAAGAAGGAGATAAAAAATTCTTAACAGAGTTAATCCAATCTTTTGGGCAAAGTTTCATCGACGTGAATTTTTCTTCTCTTTTCTGTTTCTGTATTATTATTTAAGAATTTATTTGTAGTTCGATCGATCAATATCATTCCAAAGACGCATCGATTAATTCGATTCGAAGGAATAAGATGATTAGTTTGATTTAAAATCCGGTGAATAGACGTCTAACCAAGAATGTTCGCGCGAACGTTTCTCGAACGAACAAACTTCTCGAGTTTGGAATTCCTCTGGTAGTAGCAACAGTAAAATTGAATTTCCCTAAAACTGCCTTTGAAATGGTACCGGTAACTTTAATTATTTAAATCACCTGTTTCTGTTCCCAAAGGATGGAACATAATGCCGGAGCAATTTAACGTTTCCAAGATGGATGTCGTATTATTTTTTCAATTAAAATGAATACACGTAATTTTAAAATCGTTCTTATTATTACCAGCTTACTTTCCAGAAATCTTTCATTACGTTTTTGAACGTTTCATTTCGAAAAATATTCTAAATAAAAACGATCTTTAATGTGTTTAATTATTTAGTTCTTTAAAAGATCAATGATGGTATAATTTTAATAAAAATTACTGCTACAATCATTATTTAATTTCGTATATTATAATCTTAACTTATAATATATCTATAATGTTTCAAAAATTTATTATACTTTATGCTTATATTAAATTAATAATATAAGAATCGAAGAAAACTAATTATAGCAATTCTTGTTCTCTCTACACTTAAAGCATATCACTTACTCAATGACCTCTTTTCTAAACTCGATTCGCGCCAAGAACCAAGCCAATTCCTTTGGCATTCCCTTGCGACTACTTAACTCGTCTCATTTCGATCTTTTGTCCCACTACTTCCATTTCCTCGTCCCCCAATTCAAATAAATCCATTTCTCGAAACGAATCCTTTTCCTTCCACATCGTGTTTACTGTCTTTATTTTTTGTGAACTATTATGATTGCGCCTATTTGAACTATATTACATCAATCACAAACATACCACACGAGAATTTCAATAGCGATATTAATTACAATTTTTACAAGTTTTGGCGTTTCTCGTATTATTTGTCCATATTTATCTATCTTATCATGTTTCAAGACATAATTTTCAAGTTTAAGAATTAATATATCATGATTATAGAAAAATATAATAATTTTAATATTCAAGAAGTAAAAAAGTAACGAATAATTATTAAAAGTAACGAATCTTAAAATATTAATAGTTAATAATCACGTGGCGCTAGTGTCGCGTTAAATCGTTATTGTATGTTAATTAAAATTATAACCTACGAAGAATAATTTTTACGCATATAAAATACATAATATATAATATAAAGTTCTTTTCATAACTTTTCAATGAGTAAATTGGAAAAACTTTTCCCATTTAAAGTTTTCTTTTTTATAAATGATTTTAATACAAAGGCGCAGAAATAGAAATGAAATACGGAACACAGATAGTTAGTCTAGCATTAAAAAAAAAAGAAGGAAAACAGAAAGTTCGATAAAACGTGTTCTTTTTTTTCTTTTTTTTGAAACGTATATAGTTTGAGGATGCTTTCGGAATAAATCGTATACAATGAGCGCGTTAATGTGTGTGGAAATGTATCAAACCGCGTCGAAACGACTGCGTGAACAGATTGACAAACAAAGTTAACGAAGTTGACGGAATAAACGATACAGACAAATATTACTGGATATAGAGGGATAAATGAATGTGGAACATTCGGAAAACTGCGGATAAGTTTTGTCAATAAACTCATTTTTGCATCACTGATTCTTTTATGGTATATGGGATATATGAAAATGAAAATAGTGTATCATTGATGTACACTTAATTATATACAATTTGATCTTTTTTACTTTTCTTAATCAAAAATAGTTGTATCGATGTGTTATATAGAAAAGAAAGATAGCGTAACTAGTAAAACTGATAAATTTTTAAAGATATACAAAATATATTTTTTTTAAAGTTTCCAATATCGTAGTGAAATTTAATATTTCGTGAGTGTCTAATCATCTGAAACGATTGAAATATATTTATCATGGTTTAAATTGACTATTAACTTTACCATCGAACGAAACAGAAACGCAATGATAGAAGTAGGAGGAACTGTTAAAGATAACATACGTTCCATGATAATTTTCAGACGTTTCAGACGTATTTGACGATGCGGGTTTAACTTTACGATAGCCGTAAAAGTGAATTATTGCGGTACTTACCGTTGATGTGAAGATTCACGTGAATATACTTGGGCGGATGAGTGCTGACTTGGCACTCGTACTGGCCCTCGTCGCTACTGTTCACCGGTTGGATTTGTAGACGCCAGTTATCCGGGTATTGGAACTTCACCGTGTACCTTGGGTCTCCTATGTACGTCTGCTGACCCACTGTCAGCAAATTTACCTTTTCCCCATTGTCTTGCCTGCGTACCCAAGACACCTGCCGACACAAATTATTTTCATGTTAGTTTTATTTAGTTTAATTTTGGATTAAATTTTGGGGACAGAGTTTGTTACGTTTTAGAAGGAATATTGGATGATATTAATTTTGCACGACATTTGCGTAATCTCGATAAATGGGTGACAATTACCACGATTTTCGGATCCTCTGTTCCAGACACTTGACAAATCTTTCTAATTCTAACTTCTAATAACTAAGTTTCGGCGATTTGCCGCTAGATGTCTCGTTAATTTCTATTTTCTCGAAAGTGTCTTGTACAAATGACAAATTATTTCAAATAAATGTTTATATATTCGTTTACTTTTAAAAATATTCATCAAAATCCTTTAATTTACAAATTTTTTAATAGTTTCAAAATGATATTTTCAAATATTTGCAAATGAAACGATTAAATTTTTTGATAGAAATTTTGACACTTATATTTTTATTGGAAAGAATGTATATTAATTTAAAGTTTGGCTCAATAAATTCAACGTAGAAAAACAATCAATCAATTAATTTGCAACAATCATCGACACATTTCCTAATATAATATTCCTAATATAATATAATATAAATATCCCCTTCATTATCATCAAACGAATCTCAACTTTTGAATATTATTGTGTAACATAAAACTGAACGAGATCATAAGATGTTAAAGCATAGAAAATTGAAGGGAAACGTGCTATGAGTAAATCGTGCATAAGATAGTACTCTGATAAACAAGGATCCGAAATCCACAGATTATTCACATAACTGGAATTGGATAGTATTTCCCGGTATTCCCCATTAAATGTGCGCGATATCGTACATATCTTCGACATGGATATCAAGCCCGTTATTATCCGCTCAACAGAGATTGCCGCCTATGGACAGCTATCAATGGCGCGTGTGATCGCTACCGATCGTGATCGATTGCTTTTGGCTACCTTTATAACTAGAACATGAAACATTTTGTAGAAAATTCCGATCGACATTGTCTGCTATTGATTTATTTTTTTTTGTGTTTCAATCCTTAAATCTTGTTCCCTACGAGGCATACATATTTTTTCAATACAATATATTGTTTTATTATTTGTAAAACGTTTGTTTTTTGCTTTTCAAGTCAAAATTTTCAAAATTATCTTTTAGTATTTATTTTTCTAGAGATTTTTTTTGTGATATAAATAATTAATATCTAACCTAAGTTAATTTTAAACTTTTTCTTTAAAAATATCTCAATCGATTTGATGCTCGATCACGCACTGGTGCACGGAGCCAAGAATGTTTGGCGGCAAATTCAAATAACATATACTAATAAATATGGTCTTAAGTCGAGTTGTGTGCATTTTCAAGATAATCATGCATGGATAATCGCGTTAGCCGACACTGTTGTTAGCAATATTAACAACAGCAACGACATTAATAGCCTAATATTACTCTGAGGCGAGCTCGACCGTGGTTCAGCCAAGTGCGATGCTTTTAGGATATAACTATTGTCCTACGAGTTTCTGCAGAGTTGGTAGACATCGTTTCCCTATTTCAAAATGAAGTTGGTAAATTCTGAAAAGATAGATGTCGTTGAATATCATCCAACAAACATAAATGTCGAATTTATCTCAGTTGCTTCCTTGTAAACTAATTTTTTCCTCCTAGTGGTTACATCATGTGCTTGATCGATTGATGAAAAATATAGATTTGAGGAATTTTGTCATAAGAATAAAATTTCATCGATTATTATTAAAATTTATTTCATTGTCAATTTAAAATTATACGATAATTACTTTTATAAATCGATAATATTTGGCAAAACTTTTCAATACGATTCCAATTCGAAGTGAAATCAGAAAACGTTTCTTGGCTGAAATTTTAATTATTAATCATTTTTTTGATGAAAATAAAAGAGAAGAATACAGAGGACGATATCTGCCAATATATATATTTGTCGCACGAATTGATAATCGAAATGGGAAACGATCAAATTCACGCGACGTGGATGTCAACGATTACGAGGGAAATTCACGCGAAATCTAGCCGGCAGCGATAATTCCTGTTCAACCACACCGGCACGCGCATAACGAGGCCGGATATTAAATTAATTCGAACGGCGCGATTGTTCCAACTGCGGTAGACGTGTCTAGTTTCCGGAAGTGGCGTCACACCCGAGATCTAAGACCGGTGGCGGGCGCAAAGAAATTAATTAGAATAAATCGTGGCCACCCATCTTCGTCTGAAACCACCGTTGCCACGGTTTACAAGATTAATTGTGAATTATAGCCTTTCTAATTTCCCGACGGGGGAGGGGGAGTAAGCTGGCGAAATACGAGACCTTGACTGTTAAACTGTTAAGATATGCAAAACGATGGAGAATATATGGAAAAGGTATGTAAAACAATGGAGATATATGCGAGGGTGTAAAAGTATACAGAAACACGTGAAAATATACAACATCTTTCCCCCTCCCCCCACTTTTGCATATTATACAAATGTTTTCCATACTTTTGCATACACTTTGCATAAATTTACATATATTTTGACGTGTTTTGCATATTTTCGTTGAATGATACGTAAGAATGAGTATTTGTGGAAAATTTATAAAGAAGTTTAGTATCAATTAAGAAGCGAATCGAGGAATTGAGTGTTAGTTGAGCAAGAAAGTTTTTAAAAACGTTATTTTAATGTATCCATCTAGAAGAACAACAAAAACAAAACCTCAAGAATATTGTTATCCAAAAATGACAAGAAATTTTGTACCAATTCTTCTTTATATACACTACGTTTCTACTTGATCATTACATTACTGATCATATTTTTACAATTATTTTTATCAATGTACAAAACGAAAATATGCATTCGATAATCAGAATCTTTTAAAGAATTGTCAATAGGAGAAAAAAAACTTAAGGAAGGAAGAGACTCACGGTTTTATCTTGTAGCAAGGATATCCTGCAGTCAAGCAGGGCGCTACCGCCAGCCTGTACCGTCATATTCTTGCTTTCTCCCTCGAAATGGGGGCCCCACCTGTGATCGTGATGGTGTTGATGTTTGTTCAGCGTGCTGTGCGCATCGAAAATGTAGTTCAACATCGGCGCATCCGTCGGTACCGATCGCTTTGCCGCCGTCGTCGATTTCGTTGATATTGAATCTGTTATTATTGATAGATCTGTAACAATTAAAGATCGTGAAAAGTTAATACATATAGTAATAAATACCTTTCTACAATAATATTAGATTCTTTTAAACTTGTTTGAAAATTAATCTATCCATTGTCGAATAAATTAGACGTATCACGCTTTCTAACACACTTTCTATTAGTTTCTCTCTTCAAATTTTAAAAACTTTTCTTTTTTCTTTCATTACGAATTTTTTATCAACTCGATATCAACGTTCGACTTTTTTTTTGTTATTTATTCGAAAACGTTGCACGATTTATTGGATATGTTGCATGCAGCCGTTGATCGGATATCTTGTCGCGATATTCTCCAGTCTCTAGAGATCTCCGTTTCCCGATGTTTACAAGTATTGGACAGACAATTGACAACTGACGGTACATATTGGTACATACGTATTCCTGTACGTCTGTAATCATTGAATGAATATACACATCGTAGCTTGCGAGTAATTATGCATCTCGTGAAAGAATTTCGACCGATATAGGCAGAAAAATGTAGGATTCGTCTTTCATATTATTATTTTTAATTATTACAACGAGAATTCTCGATTAAAAATAAGGAAACAAACATTTTGAGAAATAATTGAGAGTTCAAGAAAGCATACACATACGTTTCTCTTTATATAAAAGTGTTAAAATTCTCTGAAATCAATAAAATCAATCTTTCGTTCACTGATCTAACGATTTGATTCGATATAATCATTTATCAAGTCGATTTACAAGCATATATATACTCACTTTAGATCATGCTCATTTTTTATAAATAATTTCTACATCACCTTTATATCTTGATCCATATATTTTACCATTACGTGCACACATAGATGGAAACAGTTCTGGGTCTAAGGTTAGATCGTCCAATTTATCGTTGCTGAACGGGCCAAGAGATACGCGAAACAGGTAAGCACGAGAGTTTGATGTCAGGCTATTGGAAGGATGCGATATTTCTTCGATCGCGTGCAGCGCATCGGAAAACAATAAGTACGTATATTGCTTAGATATTTGTCTGCTCGTATCCTCAGAACGACGTGTACGATGCGTCACTTAAATATAAATTTGAACGTTGTTGGATTGTACACTTGGAAAATTTTCACTTATTTGTTCGTTTTATCTTTCGTCGTTTAAACCTTTCGCTCTCGTGCCACTGAAAATTTTAACCGCGTTCAATTTGTTTTATCAGGGTTTTTATCAGGCCTCGAGGTCGAAGTTTGAGGTAAAAGTTATGCAAATTTTTATAACGAAGAGAGAATGTAAAGTTGTACACGAAAATAAAGTTCGAATAAAGTCGAAATGAAAATTTTTTTCAAAGGAAAAGATTTTGATTGAAATTATCTCAGCAATAAACTGTGCTTCCATATATTTTCACAATTTTTAAAAATTGTTATTCTGAAACGAAATCTTTGAAACTATTTATGAATTTGTTATTAATTAAGTGTTTGTTTAACAATGATATATTGAAATATATTTTAATCCCCTTCTCAAACTGTTTATAGATTGCGTACAAAAATTCAAAGACTTTCGAAGTATTTATTATCTGGTACAAAGTATAGAATAAATACGTTAAAGAAACAAAGAAATTTTAAGGAAATGTTCTTCAAGAAGTTATAACTTATATATTCTTTTTGTAAGTTACATTTAAATAAAGATTGTAATTGCAAAACGAAATTAATAATTATTGATTGAGATTCTTAATAATCCTAATTCTAAACATAATTTAATACCATTCTAAAAAAAAAATAAAAATACATCAGCATCAAGTAACTTCAACATTTACCTATTATTACAACAAACTACAAGAAAAACACTTCCAAAACAAATATTAATCATCTAATTAAACATCGGTCAGATCAAACCTAAACCTCGTTACACCATCACAAGCAGATCCTTCCAATAGAAAAACTCGGCAAAGATCATCCATTTCTTTCTCCCCGCCCATTGATTCCTCTTCAAACGTTCGCCCGCCATTCCCCACCCGATCTTTTCTCTTTGCTTCCGTCGTGGAAATTTTGCCACGACCCAGAGGGAAGGAAAACTGATCGGGAATTCCGGTGGAACCGTTGAAAGCGTGTTCCGGATACCGACGAAGAAGCCGTGGTATCCCTTCTTGCCTTGGCAAGAATATGAAAATCGTTATAGGTCGTATCGATCCCTGGATCGAGGCCACCCTCTTTTTACACCCCTGTGTACGCGAATATTTAAATAACCGGTCAAATTTTTCCATCAGATCGAAAGAAATTCACGATACGTTTTCAATCAAAGGAGTTTTTTATATCTCTTGTTTAAATATTTAGTTCAAAGGATAGTTTCCTTTGAGGAGTTTTATCCATATTTTTCTTTGGATCGTGTGAATTAATGATTGATAATAAATGAAACGAATATGAAACAGTTTGGTTACTTCTAAATTTCCTTTTGTGAAAAAATTGAAACGTTTGAACTAACATATTTCTTTTCTACGTAATAAACATTTATATTTGGAAACTCTTTAACTTTTAATCGTTTCACGACACGTATATTTCTATTATACAAAAATTTTCTCTTTAATTCCGCTAAGGAGATTAAAAAAATCTGAAATTCAGAAGAAAAAAAATAATGCAAAATTATTATTTTTCGCGTATTCGCGTTATCAAAAACCCTGTTCATCATCGGAATCCAAAATCTCAACCAGTTTTCTATTCACGATTGTGCGTCGACCAATTAGAGATAGTGATTTTCGTCTCTCCCCGATTTTTCGATCGGATCACCCCGGATTTTATCGAGTAATCACCCCGAGCTATCTCGCGGATATATATTTTTTTTTTCTCTCTTCCCTCCTTCTTTCTCCACTCGAAGAGCGGAGGCACAATCAACGCAGCTATCCCCAGCCAGGCGTCGAGACTTAGCAATCGACCTATTTTTTTCGCGATTCGCAAACATTCGAGACTTCTGACTTGGCGCTTTCCCCTCTCTCCATCGCGTGCATTATTCCGCATCGTCGGGGGGATGGAAACGAAGTTTCAGAAATACGAGATTAAGTCCAATTCGAGATCTAATGATCGTTCGTCCGTCGAAAGCCCCCTTTTTTTTTTCGACGAAAATAAATCGACTTCGTATCCGTTTTTTTTGTTGCCGGTTTGCGTAGTATTTCGCGAGTAGATACGGATTTCGAAAAATCGATTAGGATTGGTGGGCCGGGGATGCTTTGAGAGAAAATTGAATTCCTTTGTGTTCGCAAGTGGACGATGCACGAGAGTCAATAACATCGATGTTAATCTCATAACATGTTAGAATCCCCCTTTATCGTGCCTTCAAGATATATATATATTTTTAATTTATTCAAAACTGTATGAGTCAGAACAACATTCGAAGATAATATATATTATTCGAATCGTAGTTTTTTCGAAGGAATCGAAAAGGATTTCACTTACTTCCAAATATAAATGTCGAAGGGAGCCGCGTAATTAGTCTTCGCGCGTCTCCTCTGTTCCATCGAACACGGTTACGTCGTAATTCGAGCGAGTCCGGCTAACCACGGTAAATAATTCCGATTCGAGGCACACAACCAGTAACGCGCTCATGTTTTATGCATAAACCGGATCCCGCGGACCGCCGCCACGCGTTACACGTCGTTCTAGCTTCTAGCCCGAATCACGGATCTCGCCGCCACTTAAACGCGTATCGGTCCCTGTGTGCCCTCTCGACACACTGCTTCACCCTTTAATATGCGTTCACGCGGCATCCCGCACCACCCTCGCGCGCGAGATGCTCCCTCCCGTTATATGAACCGTGGTGTTTGGCCCAGGTTATTGGATGTGTAATTGTACCGAGTGGGAGAGCGAGAGTTGACCCAGTTCGATCGATAAAAAAAAATCGTTTTACTTTTAGAGGGACGAAATTAATTATTTATTTCGAGGATGGGTAACAGTTGATGAAACAAGAAAGAGGATCGTTTTCTTTCAAATATTTTTAAGCTTCCTTCGAAACTTCTTTCGATTTTTGTTACTGTTCACCTCTCGTGATTCTTTATCTATAAAGTATGGAAGTTGAAGATAATTTACAAGTGAGGCATTTGAGAAATATGAATATGTATATATCTTGGTTGTTATCGTATAGAAAATGGTAAATGGTCAGATCGAACTTGCATGGTGTCGAAGGATATGTAATTTAATCCGATTGATTATGATTTTTATGTATATTATCAATTTTTTTCAAAAGGAAGAACGTTTATTCTAAATTGTTGCTAGTTATATGTATAAGTTAGTTATGCGTGACGAATAAGCTTCAATGTACCCGTATATTCTTAGTTGTGACACATTCAATGTCCGTTATAGTGTTTCATTGGACTGTATACGAGTAGTCATACAGAGTTACAGAGTTATCAGATGCTGTGACTATTCATGCAACAAACATCGCATCAACTATTTATTCGATATTTGTGTTTTAATGGCAGGGAGATATGTTATATGAATAAAGAGAAAAAAATATATAAATTTTCTAAAAATAATCCGCATGAGACTCTTGGTACGTAATTTAAAAGAATTTTTTGATTGTATGTATGAAGATTCTTCTCTCGTCACTTTGCATCGTTTCAAATTTAGGCCAGATATAATTTAATTTATCATTTGAGTATTATCCTTCTACACGTCGCCTTTATTTTTCAACTTTCCACGATTTTCCCCGCGATAACTCGAGTTTATAGCGTCTGAAGAATGACAGAAGTGCTCGACGAAAACTTTGAATCCAATGAAACTCGCGATACGTTGCAAGATTGGGACACGAAATCGACGATGGGGATCGTGAAACTTAAATAGAATGCGCCGTTTCGACGAGATCAATTTAACAAATTTGTTTCTGCGAAACTTGAGGCGAGTCTCGCGGGACCGACATTCGGCCCAAGTTCTTCCATCGATAAAATTATTTTCGATAAATCAAGTCAGTCTTAAGCGATGCTCGCTTAAAGAGCGACGATAAATTAATTGCAAGGAACATAAATTCAACAACAATGAATTTGAATT